AGTCTATGCACATTCCACACGTTCACTCACATCTGAGATGACTGCTTACGACTGAAATACGACCTTGTGAGCACTGCCCCACTTAGGAGACAGGTGTGTCACAGGCAGTGGAGAAGCGCCTGGGGATACAGTGTGTGTGAGCGTCACGTGTCTGGGTGTGGGTGACCGGAGAGCATGTGAGTGAGAGTAAAAGCATCAGAAGGGCCCTCGTTGTGACGTTCCAGAACCAGGGGACAGAATGTCACCAGGATAGAGCAAAACCACAGCCTCCTCCCCCAGAAGCTCTCGCTCTCGGCAATCTAAGATCCCAGACCACTGCCCAGTGTCACCCAGCCATTCTGCAGTTCATCCCACTCCCTCAAGTCAGCTGCTCTCTAACCCTGCAGGTCCTGGTCCCCGGGAAGGCCCCCTCCTGCCAACCTCATCACAGGCCTTGCAGCAGCAAGTCACTGTGCTCTCATCGGCAAAGCGGTGAGCTGAGGACCCATACTATTTCAATTGACTCGCTTTTACACTTTGTCACCACATCCGCCCATTCTCAGCTAAATCCAGAAAAGCAGGAGTGGCCCTGCTCAACACTGGGCCTCCCTCACAAATCCCTTATTCATGCTCCTTGGCCCTGTCAGGAGCCTTGGCAGTCTCTACCTCTGAGACAATTCTTCTCCGCAGAACATGACCTGCGCAGTTAGGGGGTGGCCATTGTGCTTAAATGTCGTGGCAATTGGAGTGCCACTTTGCTCTGGGGATGGCAGTCGGTGCTGGGGGGGCCAGTCATTGTCTTCCCCAAGAGGTCATTAGAGCTTTCATAAAAATAAGTTACTCCCACAAGTACGCCAACCCAGACATCCTGGGCCAGCCCCAGCATGCCCGGTTCTCAGTGGCAACCAGGCTGGGCAGTCACTAGGGAAGCCACGCTCTATTGTGTTTGCGTGGCCAGTCGCTCGGTCTCTTGGATGCAGAGTGTCTTTGATTTGGCCCTTTATTGTCAATCGCTTTAATGTTCCGCTTCATTTTCTGCTTCCTATAGACTGAATTCCCCATAAATAGGGACTTCAGTGCCAGTAGGGCACTGTGCTCTACTAGAGAGACATATTTTCTTAGACAGTGAAATACTGCCGACATGCATATTTCTGTTTATTCTGTGACATACGCATTTCATACAGTACTACTGTCAAGAAGCCTGGTAATAGTCTAATTTCATTTTCTTTATATTCTTTTTGAATATATGGCCAAAGGAGTTTTCCCTTTTTCTTCAAGCTTCACTACTTTTACTAGAAATTCTTTGGTGTCAGTCATATTCATTTGATAGTCTCAGGTACAGACGGTGATATTTTATTTATTTTTTCATTTTTTGGAGAGGTTTTTGCTATAGGGTGCGTGCGCTCGTCAGAAAGACAGAGAGAGACAGAGAGACAGAAAGCGAGAAATCACCACCCTCAGAGGGGATGGCTATGCCATAGTCCCTTCTCCATTCTCCTCTCGGGATCTTGGGCATACATGCACACGCGCCCGGCGTGAGTTTAAGCCAATGGGTCTGGTACTCGAACCATGGTTGGCTACATGGGAGTTCAGTGACATAGCCATTATGCCAACTGCTGGTCCCCCAATTTTTTTTTTTGAAGAGAAATTTTTGCTATAGAGTGTGTGCACTTGCTGGAGAGACAGAGAGACAGAAAATGAGAAATC